CTATTAGCGTCCTTGTTACTACTAGTAAGGCACTTGTTACTAGTAGCGTGAGCTGGTGAAAGTTTGCAAGTAGAGCGCCTGAAAAAGAGCCTGCTCACTGCGTGAGCCTATCCCGACCCGTCCCGACCCGTCCCAACCCCGTCCCGCGCACGACATCGCAGCTGAATTCTCAGCCCCAAATGCGCATTGCACATTCCATCACATGTCCACAAAACACCGTTGAACGCGTCCTCATTCTTTCAAACGCATCAAGCCCCTGCAAACGTTGGGCATGTCCGTTAAAGTTCTGGTACCACCTGTCAAGCTACATTGTGTTGGGGCATGTGGGGTTACAGGTTTTGACCCATCCCCTTTTGCGCAAGCAGTGTAGTATCAGCCTACTCCTTGTCTCTGCAGCTCCGAAGCTTGTCATCTAAGCTTTCTTTGACTACGAACAACCCAGACAGAGACGGTAGAATGTCGTGTGAATCTGTGAGATGGCAAAACATCTCAATCATCTCAATCATTCCACGTCCTTATCCAGCAAGCCTCATCATCGTGCAAAGACAAAGAAGCATCTAGCACCATATCCAAAGGAGTCCTCCCATTCGCAAATTTATATTCAGCATCTTGCGCCCGTAGGATCTTTGCCAAACGGATATTCTTCTTCTTGCACGCCAAATGCCACAGCGTCTGGTGGTCACCTGGAATAAAGAACTTCTACAAAGTAGGTTACAATCAACTACGGCAATGTAAGCCAAAGGCTACATCACATGTCATTGGGAAGCTTCGCGATTCGCGATATACTGCCAGCACAAACGGAGGATTGCGCAAATCCAGCAACTTCAAGTAGAGCTTCCAAGCGACCGCCGGAGTCATTGTTCATCAATGCTTCTTTACAGCGCATCTCCTCTGTTCTCACCCACTCCTGTCCAACGTAGGAGTAACTCATGGGCACACAAGTGATGCACACCTGGCTATATACTGTATGTGTCTCTCAGAATCAATTTCACTCCTTGAAAGGCATCCTTTTGCAAATCACCTCTGGCAGGGCTTCAGTTTCATTGCCACCTGGCAACACTCGGAGCCTCTCTTACAGAGGCACTCTTCAACAGAAATGCACATGAATTGAATTTAGGCGGTAGAGTTGCTTGTACGAGTAGGAAAGCAAATGATATGGCATGGACACACTCAGAACCCTCGCCTTCTACCCTTTGCGTTCGCTCTATCCGCGCCAGCTCCTGAAGTGCTTTCTGAGAACTCGACGCCCAGCAGCGGTGCCTAGGTCAAAAAATGCACTTGTTCACAGCGCAGTCCTTCTTCGCTTCACTTTCAGCACTCGACTCTTTTGCACCTGTCAAGCTTAAGGGTCACCTGTCAAACAAACGCAATTACTGACACCTCAGAGCCAAAATCGGAAGCAGCACAACAAGTTGTTCAATTTGTATCAAGATTCCAACCCCACCCTGACCATCCCTGACCGTCCCTGACCGCCTCGAGCTCGCACTTGGAGGCCCAGATTTGAAAGCCGATCAGATTGGAGAAAGTTCAGACCCAGGTCGAGCTTGCAAGCGATGGGTGCCACGGAAGGCGACCAATCGCTGGGCAGTTTGAATTCCAATTGTTTCTCCATCAATGGCACCCAAGAAGGCAGTGAAGCCCCTGGCAGCTGCGGAAATGGAGGCGGGGCCTGCTGCGAAAATGGAGGCGCGGCCTGCGGAGGATCTCCACTCCATGGCGGCAGAACCGCCCAAGGTGGTGGAGCTTGTGGCACCCCGCCGCCCAGTATGTCCATCTGACCGGCGGCTGTCAGACATAGCTGGGCGCCATGCCTCGTCCAGTTGTTTACCATGAGTGTTTGAGAAAGGATGATGTCTGATCTCAAAGAAGCGTATTGAGTGGCGGGCGGAAGTTTCAGCCACAGGTTCAAATTGTCAAACCAGTTTTCCTGCACCACCTGGAAGGATGGCGAAGGACGGCAAACTATGGCAAACAGTTTTGGGATTTGCTGGACAAACACAGCAGCATTACCCCCGTCCTGCCTTGGTCCAGTCCACGCAAACTAGAAAGGAGGTGTATTCCTTCGCTGTCTTCTGCAATTGTTCCTCAATATCCTCAGGCGGGCATTGACTACCCAAACTCCCAAACTGCAAACCTGGCAAATTCACCACCATGTCATCATTGAAGGCGCCGAGATTCTGCGATTATATCTTGCACATCATTATCAATGCCATATTCACCTGCATTGCATTGGCAAAACCACCGCAAAAAGCGCAAGGCACCGTCTCTGGGCATCTGTCGAACTCAACAAACAGCATACACACTGTGTATTCCTTCGATAAACCCCATATCCCTTTGTCACTTTGTCCAAGCAACAAATGTCCCAGGCAATCTTCAAGTGGTTCCCGGCCACAGCTTGGCCCAGTGGTGTCTGTCCGCGGTTGTCTGGGCAGTTTGCAGCTTTCGCCGCCAGTAGGCGCCGAGCGAGACTTGGACATCCATGACTACAGGTGAGCTGAGATATGTTAATCCTCGGTTCCCCGACACAAACTGATTGAGCAACTGAGCAACTGAACATTTGCTACGAGCTAAAAAATAGCGAGATCTATGCCATGAAGCGTGCCTGCCATGGTCCAGTGTGTTGCGCGCGGCAAATGCATCTGTTTATGTTTGAACCGGTCTCGAGGTTGAAGATGTTTCTTCATCACGCGTCACGCTGGGTTGGGCGAGGACTTGGGAGGCCTTCGCTGCTGCGCCGGATGTTGTTGTTTCAGGGTTTTCCTTCGAAACTTTGTTGAACACTTTGTTGCGACAAGTCCAGATTGAAAGAACAATGGCGATGTTTGCTGACGGTTGCTGCTGCTGATGATGATGATGGTGGTGGTGGTGGTGATGATGGAAAGTCGCTAGGTCGTTCCAGCAGTGTAGTTGTGGGAACTGGGAACCTGTTTTAACCAGCAGACTGTGGGTAATTATCGCAGCGCAGGGACACTGAGCAATCAAGGTTGGTGAGAGGAAATGGAGATGACTGGCGAAAATCAGAAGTGCGCCTTTAAGGCTTTAAGGCATTGGAGGACTATGCGGTGCAAACAGGCGTTGCCTTTGCTGCGCTGCAATGTTGCTGTCTTTGATGAAGTGTAATGTGGGCGATGGAGTATTCGTTCAGGACACAGACCAATTCTTGACATGATTTGTGACGCGGTGAAAGCGGATATGGTAAAGCATGGTAAAGCCATTTGCGCCACGATCGTTGCGCCGTCTCTTGTGATTTGCACAGTTGCAATTTGCGATGTGAAGTGTCTGTCAGAATGAAAGAGTGTGACCTTTCTTTCGCGGTGCCACTAGCGGTTCGACCACTTCGGTTGTTTTTGGGCCGACGGGACCTTGTTCACCCGCTCCCTTGGATCTTTTTGCACCACCGGTGTTGGGCGCGAAGCCATTTCATTGTCCTGGCTCCACTTCCAGTCCAAGCTCTGTCGAGGCCGGTGAGGTGTGATGGGCGAGTTGCGATGTGGCGAGTTGCGGTTTTTTGTTTTTGGTGCCGCGGAGTGGGGCGGTGTCATTGGTGTTGTGTGGTGTGATGAAGTGAGGTGCGGTGACGAATGGTGACGCGGTGAGGCTGCTCAAGGTATGTAGATGGGGTAGTTTGTAATTGGCGAGTGAAGTGTCACGTGGTGATTTGCGGGGCGGCGGTCTAGTGAACTCCCTCCCAGCAATTTGGAGGGGATTGGTGTGGCCAGTTTGATGCAGTATCCGCTAAGGCTAGAGTGTGAAAGCACAAAGCAAACCTCATGCGCATAATGCTACAATGCTACAATCGCGCACCACATGTGTAGCTTCATACCGACCCAAATCGGGGCCGGTCAGGGTAACCTGAGCAGCTCAACCCGAAGCGCCGATCTGCCTTGGTCTCCTTTTGACCCGAAAACAGGCCCTTTTTGCTCACCTTTGGTTTCGGTCAGCTCAACACGTGTTTTATCGGGGCGCCAAAACAACATTTTACAAGTGTGTTTGAGTGGACCAGGTGCTCTGCCGCTCTCCAAACGCACAGCGTGGTTTTCCAACATGTTTGCATTCAACCTCATGGGCTCGCACATGGACTCATCAATGAAAGGTGCCTCAAAAAGGATTCACTCAGTTGCGGCCTTCATGGGCTCCATCTTGCCTACATAGGTGCCCAGAATGAAAACTCTGCTAACGTTGGCCATCACATGAAATGCTGCAAGTTTCTCACTGTCGGCGCCGCATGCATAGTGAAGAAGAGTTCCTTCATATTGTTCCACCTTGCGACGCAAGCAGCCACAAACACATCTAATAACAGTCCGAATGACGAGTTGGTGAGCTGGTTGATGGATACTACAAGTTGGGCCACCGTACTGTACTACGTTCTCGCACTGCATGAAGTTTTAAATCTTCAATATCATAAGTTTCCGTCAAAATCATTCAATATCTAGATTATCTAGGAACCATTTCTTACAGCCTGTCTCGCACCTACGCGGCGCGCCCTCCAGTAGGTATTGCCCCAAAACTAACCCTTCGGTTTTGATAGCCGCGATAGCACACAACGCTCACCAACGTCGATACAAGCGCAAAAGGTGGAGCTAAGCGGGTAGCGAAGATGCGATGTGGGAAGTTTTCGCAAACAACACGCTAGCAGGTGCAGGCAAGCGGATGGCATGTGGGAAGGGCTTTCAAGTGGCCAACATCGGCAACTCAAATTCTTGTTTTAGAATTTATATATATATATAAATAGAGTATTTTTAGACCTTCTCGGGTTCCTCTTCAGTTGACGGGGCTGACGTACATGAAGATTCGCGCACGCACAGCCATATTGCCTGGACAGTCTGCAACTTGCAGCTGGTGTCTTCCAGTTAGAGTTAGAGACGTTCCCGCATGGAAATCAAGCGGATACGACCGAAAAAAACATGGCGCTCAGAGGTTGTCAGAAGGCCGATCCACGGGCATGGTGCGAACAACTCCTTTATATACATAGCCACAAGAAACTCGATTTTCCAAGGCTCAACATGCGTTTGCTCCGCCACAGACCAGACTGTTTTCGAGCAAGGTTTAGAGTGCATCACGTTTGCTCCAGCCGCAGACGGGTTTCTCTGTTCGCGTGAGCTGTGAAGTTTGAAGCCTTTCTGGGCTAGACACCTGCACAGCGCACTTCAGTGATTTTCGGCCTTGCTCATGACTTTGGAGTGGTTGGAGTGGTCCACGGAGTCTACGGTTAATTGCTGCAGCATACCAATTTTTCGGACAGTTTTTCCACCCTCCACCTTTCTTTTTCACCCTCTGAACCTTTTTTTCAGGCTCTACCCTTTCTTTTTTGACCCTCGACCCTTTCTTTTTCACCCTCCTTCCTTTGCTTGGTGCGTTGGTTGGTTGGCTAGCTTGTTGTAATTGTAATGAAAAGCAAAAATTGACAGCCTTTGGGGAATCCACAGGGTTGTGTGGTTTTGGTTGCTTGGGTTTGTTGGTGGCTGGGTGGGCTACCAACGCAAAGCAAACATCGACAGCATTTGGGGAAAACACAGTTTGGTTGCTACCCTTTCTTTTTAATCCCACTTCCTTTGGTTGATGTGTTGGTTGGTTCGGCCTGCTTGGCTTGTTGGTTGCTTGGATTTGGGGAAAATACATACAGTGATGGATGGATCATGGACAGGGAAAAATGTAACTGTTTGGTGTGTTGGTTGCTTGGTTTGCTTGCCGTTGATTGCTTGCGTGATACGGTGCTTGATGGACATGCAATTGTTTCTGTTTGTGTGCTTAGTTGATGGATGGATGGATGGATGGATGGATGGATGGATGGATGTGATGGATGCTGTGTAAATAAAGGCGGGAGAGGATGCGGGGGAGGGCGCAGCGCCTTCCCCGCATTGCAAACCAAGTATCGACAGCATTTGGGGAAAACGCAGGGCTGCTTGGTTTGTTGGTTGCTTGCTTGTTTAATTGGTGGATGGATGGATGGTCTGTAAATAAAGGCGGGCGGGGATGGATGCATGCATGGATGCATAAATGGGTCGAGTGTAAATAAAGACGGGACGGGGTGCGGGGGAGGGCGTAGCGCCTCCCCCGCAATGCGAACCAAGTATCGACAGCATTTGGGAAAACACATGGTTGTGTGGTTTTGGTTGCTGGTTTGTTGGTTGCTTGGTGGGCTACCAATGCAAAGCAAGTATCGACAGCAATTGGGAAAACGTTTGGTTGGTTGGTTTGTTTGTTGCTGGTGGGCTACCCACCCCTTCTTTTTTACTCTCTTTCCTTTGGTTGGTGTGTCGGTTGGTTCAGCCTGCTTGGCTTGTTGTTTGCTTGGATTTGGAGAAAACACATACAGTGATGGATGGATCATGGACAGGGAGAAAAATGTTACTTTTTGGCGCGTTGGTTTGTTGGTTTGCTTGCCGTGATTGCTTGCGTGATACAGTGCTTGATGGACGTGACATGCAATTTTTCTGTTTGTGTGCTTCGTGGATGGATGGATGGATGGGTGGATGGATGGGTGGATGGATGGACGCGGTGTAAGTAAAGGCGGGAGGGGGTGCGGGGCAGGGCGCAGGCTACGGGATGGGTGGTTTTGGTTGCTTGGTTTGTTGGTTGCTTGGTGGGTTTGTTGGTTTGGCCGCATTGTTGCTCGGTTGGTTGGCACTCCGTTGATGGATGGACCCTCGACCCTTTCTTTTTCACCCAACTTCCTTTGCTTGGAGCGTTGGTTGGTTGGCTAGCTTGTTGTAATTGTAATGAAAAGCAAAAATTGACAGCCTCTGGGGAATCCACAGGGTTGTGTGGTTTTGGTTGCTTGGGTTTGTTGGTGGCTGGGTGGGCTACCAACGCAAAGCAAACATCGACAGCATTTGGGGAAAACACAGTTTGGTCGCTACCCTTTCTTTTTAACCCCACTTCCTTTGGTCGTGGCCGTTGGTGTGTTGGTTGGAAACCAAGCCTGTCCCGCACGGGATTTCTAGATCCACGGCACTTGGGGAAAACACCGAGTATGTGGTTTGGTTGCTTGGTTTGTTGGTTGGCTTGTTGGTTTGGCCGCGTTGTTGCTTGGTCGGTTGGTCGGTTGGTTGGCACTCCGTTGATGGATGGATGCATGGATGGACGCATGGATGGATGGATGGATGGATGGATGCATCCTGCGCTGCCTCACGTTCCGGAGGCGTCCGGGTCAGTTTCCGGCGGTTCCCGTCGTTCCGGACAGTCTCTGCGCAGTTTCCGGAGGGTTCCGAAGGGTCAGTAACAAGAAGTTATTGAGGTGAAAACAAAGGGTTTGGCAAGCGCAGACACGCGGCGCGAAACAAACCGGAGGTGACATCGTTCTCTGCGCAGGCTCCAGGGGTTACCTGCTTCAAGGTTTCAAAAAAAAAGGTGAAGCATGAACAAAACAAGGTGAAGGGTGAAAGAAACGTGCTACAGGGTGAAAATGACAGGGCGCAGGGTGAAAATAAAAGTTTTGGAAGGGTGGGAAAAAAGGTTCCAAAGGGTGGCGAAAAAAAAGGCGAAAAACAACATTGTTCGAGGGTGAAGAAAAAGGGAGCCCCAATTTTTCCTGCGCGCAGCCAAAAAGCCAAACAGAAGATTGCAAACCCCCACTACAACGGAAGAACCATAACCCAGAAGCAGATTTGGAAAGCAAGGCCCCTGTTTTGGCCCTAGACAGGTGGCACACGTGGATTAGCCTGGCGGTGGTCGTCGTGGTCAGGCTTGAGAGATCGACCTAATAGTGTGCGTCATCCCAGAAAAAAATTGCGTGGATTGCAACGGCAGGTGAGAAATGAAAATAAACAAATCCTAAACGAGAATCTATAGCCATAGCTGAAATAAAACTGCATCCAGGTTCCGGGCTCAAGTTTCCTTAAGTCGCGGGTTGTTTGCGGTAAAGGGCTGGACGGTTACCCTGATTCTTCTCAAAAAACGAGCAGTGTGTGTGTGTGTGTGTTAGTGAGCGCCCGCATGTCTATGTTGAATGATTGACAACGCTTTTAGCACAGAAGCAACCCAAACGCAAAACAACCCACCGTACCTGAATCTTCATCTCCACAAAGTCCCTCAAGGTCGGCGCTCGCACTTTCCACTGTTTGCTGCGTTCCGATTCAGCACCTTAGCCATTCGAAGCGTTTCCAAGCAGTCAACTGCGTGCGCAAAGCTTGTCCAACCGTCCAGCCACTGCTTGTCAGCTCACTCTGGCGGCGGACAAATAGCACAAATGGAGAATGTCCCAGGCACACGAGCAACAGATTCGACCACGCAATGGCCGCTCCTGCGCTACAAACATTTTACACAAGCAACAACCTCCTAGAGAACAACCTCCTAGAGAAGTTTGAAAAATTGAACCCAGCCCAGGTTTGAGCAAATACCTTTGAAAAACGCGGTCACAGCAGCTCAGAGTCTGGGAGGTGGGAAGTTGATACTCTTGCATTTATGGTTACTTGCAAACAAAAAGCGAACGCCAGAAAGATACCTGCAACGCAAACCTGAAAGAAAAATAAATAGTCACAATTATGCTTGTGATTCTGCACCGCCGCTCCTCTTCGTCCTTTTTGCTGTCCATCTGCTTGTGCTTTGGCGAGTGAAGCTGCGCAAAAACATGATTCAACGTTGATTGCACACTGCATCTCAGGATGGCATTACTATCGTTAGCCTAGCAGGGGTCCTTGATCTATGAACAACTTGTGCCAGAGAACAAGCTTGCAATCGCCAACCTTTTGGCTTCAAGAAGGCCAGCGTCGGATCGCAGAAGTGGTTTCCCAAAGGGCAAAGCGAGTTTCAGCAACCCGAAGGAAACTCGACAGTTCACACTGGCAGCGGCAAGTATGTGGACAGACCTGAGAAGGGAGGGCGACAGCCAGTAAGCGAGCGGCGGCCCACAACTACGGGGAGGGAATTTCGCATGGAGATACTCTTTTTTTGCGTTGCGTTCTGGATGCTTCAGACATGGCTCTGGATCTGACCTGTTAGCAAAGGGTTCTTGTATCCGCAACCTGCTGCCCAAAGAATGAGAAGGCACACCTTGTTTTTCTACTGGTTTCTACTTTTAAGTCCGGGCTGCCCAACTCTTCAGAGGAAATTCGCACGAGGATGTGTCACACATCCATCACAGCTTGGCAAATGTAGCGCCAAAAGTGGCCAACTCTTATGAAACTTTTCTCCGTCAAACATGGGCACCCCCGCCTGGGCGCCAAAAATAGCCTCGTAACGTCTAGAGCACGACCGCTACGTCATTAGACGTTCCGCGCTCCGACGTGGCTTTCCATCTTATCAAGTCGCGATCATCCTGCAGTCGCATAGTTCGTGGTTGGGGGTTCCTTGGTGAACGCCGCAAGTAGCCAACTGACGCCAACTGTAACTTTATGAAGTTGCGAGCATCCTTCCTTTTGCAGTCAGACACTGGCACCACCGCGGTGCCAAAAATAGCCTCAGAATCTCGAGATCACACAGCCGAAGTCCAGGACTGCTCCGAGCTGGGTCTATACCGGACAGCTCCTTAGAAACCCAACTCATCAGGCAGAAGGCTTTCCATGATCTTGCCGCGTCTCCACCAAGCAACTGGAGCAGCTGGGCGATGGGCGAGAGCAGCACGCGTCAAGCAAAGAGTCAAAGCAAAGCGTCAAACCCAAATTCTTTGCTGAGCCTTCTCCCTCTGTTCCCACTGCCCAGAGGTTCAACTTGTAGGACCGCGCGGTTTGGCGTACAGTGTGGCCCACCAAGACCGTCGCCCTCCACCCGGACTCCCAAAACAGCTAAAACAGCTCAGAAGCGCACGGGTTATATTAGAAGAGTCATTAGAAAAGCGCTCAGTGCTCACAAGGAGCCAGTCTTCGTGCGTTCAAGTACTTTCCACATGTTCTGTTCATATCCAAACTGTCACCTGGACTCTGTGAAACACAAGCTTTTCCCGCAGGGCCTGCATCAACGATTCTTCCACTATAGTCTTCAGGCTCTTGTAACGATCTGAATCCTAGCGGTATTCCAGCATGCGTGTTGAACCGATACCGGGATACCAGCAAGTGACGTGAGAAGCTGGTGCGACACTTCTGTTCTACTCCGGAAAAACTGCACAGCTACCAGCTATCAGGGAGTGAATTCCTATCAGTGTTGAACGACCAGTTGTAGTGAGCCACTGCAGAAATCAAACACATGAATTTGAACTGATGTTATAGTTCCTTCAGGGGCAGCCCCTCCTTGTTTTTGTTGACGTGAATTGCATGCATCATTGACTCGAAAAGCCTCAGCTGTGGACATTTAGAGTGAATGCCGCATTCACAAATACGCAACGCCAAAGACACGATTATCCAAAGATTCGAGCGCCCTACTCCTACTCGTAGCCGGATCTTTTTCATCTTATAACTTTCCAAAGGTTGGCAGGGCACACTTTGAACGCCTGGGCATGTAGCTGTTCTGCCGCCAACTCCAGAGGTGCCTTCAAGGCATGCGCTAGCCGCTAGCTCCAGTCTTGAACGGCGCCCACTTTCTTATGGAACACACACCTTGTCAAAACTCGCCTTGCCATCCCCAGCATCCTTTTTGCTGATATCAAAAATATTCGGCTGGTCGGCCACCAGCAAGGACAAGAACGTACCTCTGGCCGCCGCAGCCTAAACCCACGTCCACATCAATGCTCCAGAATAAAGGTGACTCAGTAATTGGAAGGAAAGGGGTCTCTATTGCGTGCACCTTGATGTAGTCGAACTAAAACATGCCTATGGTATAGGATAGGAGTGGCTGCTCGTTGAAAGGCACAATGCGTTGCTGTTGAGATGCGTTCACGAGCCTGTTTTCCCTGTTTTTTTTCGTCTCGGTCCTTCTTTTTCTCATCTTCTCCAAGTCCCAGGAAGCGTTGCTCCTCAGGAGAACACAATATGCAGTAATATATGAATTATATATATGATGTATTTTACAGTATCTGTATGGTTTGGGTTCAGAGCGGACATGACCACCTGTCACACACGTTCAACGCACTCTCCTCGACTCCATGCACGGCAAGGAGATGAAGGACATTGTGGCGCTTGGAGCAAGAGACGTCCTCATACCTTCCACGGTCTGCATATTTACATTCCAGAGTAAGACACCAGGCGTAGCGTGGGGCAAACAAAAAACAAACTTGAGAAGGGAGGGGGCGAAAGCCAGCTTCTGCAATAATGTATTACAGTATAATAATAGTTGTGATAGGGTGAACTCGAAACTCTAGCGGCGTTAGCTACGGCAAATAATAGAAGGCAGAGAGACGCAAATTTTCGCATTGAGGCTTGATAACATGGGGGGGTTGGATATGCATGCGGGTAGCGCGCTCTTTTCTAGCCTAAAAGGGGGTTCACATCACATGCTATACAAGATGTATGTATTTCCCTGCACCCCACTTGGAAAGCGGGCGAACAAGGCCGTCTTTTCACAGGCTCGAGTCCGCCCATGGGATGCTGGGTAGCCCAAGTCCTGGGCAGCACTTGCAGCTTCTAAGCTGTACGTACGGTCGGCTGCGCTGCTGCAACCTTGGACATGTTGAGTCTGTTGAGTCCAGGTGAGAGACATCCCTGCCTTCTAGCAGGTACACTTCCGAAAAGCGTCCAGTGTTCCTCTCACACTGGATGGCCACATCTTCTCAAGCCCCCACTCAAGGCCAGGTGCTTTCCTGCCACCTTGAAGCACCACCACAATGCCGTGCCCTGCATGATCAGCAAAATGCCGAAGGCCACAGCAAGGTCAGTGAAGATCCAGTCGAATCCCCACTTCGCTCCATCTCCTGCATTGGGCTCCTCCGTCTTCATCCCCTCTGCACTCTGCAGAAGGGTCAGCAAGGCCGCCATCAAAGCCTGCTTGCTGAAACCACTGAGTGCAATGAACAATCCCTCGCTGCAGGCGGCCACACCACCATTGAACTCAGCCTCGCCAGACTGGAGGCTCCTGGCGTAGCTGAATAGCAAACAGCCGCCAACTTCAAACATTGTACAGGCGCACCTCTTCCTGGTCTTCTTGCAGTTGGCCCAGTCGGTGTCTGAGTGCACCTTCAGGATCTCGATCTCACCATCCTTGGGCAGCCACACGCCATAGTCTTTTGTGCCCTGCAGGTAGCGTGCCAAACGATGCAGCTTGCGTAGGCTTCCATCTGTAGGCTCCTTCATGTCCTTGGTCAACTCCCGGACTGCAAACTGCACATCCGTCCTGTCGTAGGAGAGGTACAGGGCGATGCCAACTCCTGCCCTGTAGATTCTCAAGCTCTCCCCGCTCAACTTGTTGCCCTCCTTGACCTCCGAGCACAGGTAGGGTGTTGGAGCCGGATTGCACTCTTCCAAACCCAACATCTTCAGCAGATCGCTGATGTACTTGCCACGGGGTGTGAGGAAGATGCCACCATCCATGATCTCCCGGGTCCTCTTGAGGTGTGTCCACTTTTCTCCCACGCTATTTGCATGAATCTGGCTCTTCATCTTGATCTTCTCACGCAGCTTCTTCTCCAGCTCTTGCAAAGCTGCTTTGTGTCCGGTGGCATAGAAGTCGTCCATATGCACTTCCATCAACACGCCACTGGCCGAGTTGTAGAACATCCAAGGTGCTGCTGGGTTCCTCTTGAAGTCCATCTCCTTGAAGCCAGCAATGCGTCTGCCATACCACTCTGTGTTGAGCTTCCAGACCACACGATCAGGTGGATCAACTCCGCTGTCTGCCATCTTCTTCAACCACTCCTTGGGAGGCTTCATGTAGGCTTCTTCTGCAATTGGCACCTGCCAGAATGCATTCTCAGCATCAGCTGTCAAGAAGCAGTAGCCCATCTTGATGCCCACAATGTCGATGACCCTTGACGTTGAGGTACTGGGTGCCACCGCAAACACATCAGTACGGGGGTCACCCCGCTTGAACTCCCTAGGCTTCCGGGCCCTGACCCAGACGGCGTCCAGGATCTTCATGCCATCTTTCTGCTCCACAGGGTCATAGGTCTGGTACTCGTCCATCTTGCGGAATTCTTCTGCATCTCCTTCATCCATCTCTTCTTTGGTCAATGGCTTGCTCTCCTCATTGTCTGAGTCCTCATAGGCCTGGTCCACGTCATCCTCGCGCACGATGTTGTCTTCCGTTGGTGAATACAGTGCACCCACAAAGGTTCCAGCCACGCGAGCTCTCTTGGCTTCTGGGGTCATCTCACCAGTTTCTCCAGCCCATGCCCGTCTTTCTGACATGCTCAAATCCATTGGTGTTGTCTCACCTCCGCCCACATCAGCCGTAGGTCTTGATGCCGACGAAGGACCTGATTGCACAGGAAAGTCTCCCTCGTCCTCCTCTTGGATGACCTCCCCACTCGGCTCCAGCCTGGGGCTCTTGTTGGCCGTCTCTTCAGTCGGGATCAGGTTCGGTGTTGGAGGCAAAGCGATGTCAGCCTTCCTCTTTGGCCTGCCAATGGTTGTGCCCATGTCCCATGGCATCCAATCATCTTCTCCGTCAGCTCCCGGTTGTAGCGCCTGCTGCTGTCAGCCAATCTGTGCACACTCCTGGCCGTCACTGTCCCATCTTCTGTTCCCAGCAAATATTCATTACTGGTCACACTTCTCCCAAGATGCCCTGACGCCACGCTGTCTCCCCTTTGGGCATCACTGCCCTGTTGTGAGATCTCCTGGCCTTACTCATAAGAATCTTGAAGAGCACTGTCTCGCCAAAGCGCAGCAGCTGCGAAGTGTATGCCGCGTCGAAGGCATCCTGGTAAGCTGTCCTCTGATTGCCCTTGACGCTGAATCTGCTCCTGATGAAAGAGCACCACCTCACCAACCATGGCCATAGATTGTGTGAGGTGTGGAGCGTGATGCCATAGCTTGCTTCCGTCTGGTACCTGAGGGCGAGGACATCACCACGAAGCAACTTCTGAAATGCTCCCATAGTTCCAAGGCTCTGAGATGAGTACCTGGCGCTTCTTCAAATTGGACCTTGAGTCCTTCAGCTCCTGGGGCTTTCCCTTCTCTCAAAGCACCTGCAATCTTTGCAACGATCTTCTTGATCACGGGCTCGTTGTCACTCCTGAGCTTCACCTGCAGGTAGCCCAGCTGTGCTATGAAGGAAGTCACTGTCTTGACCACATAGGGCGTCTCCAGGTTCTTTCCAGGGATAGACATAGCCAAGGCCATCCCAGTACCACTATCCACGATGGAGAGGTCTGAGCTTTGCTCGAACCGCTCTGCAATGGACGTGTCTGTCTTGAGGAAGCTGTAGTCCAGCTCGAAGTGGTTCTCGGCCAACTTCTGCTCCACAGTCCTGCGCCGATGAGGGTCGTCCATTGCGTGGCCTCTGGCGCAGAACTCACACCAAGGTGCTGGCGGCAGATCTTCTCGACATAGTCCCGCGCCCGTGCCCTCCTGATCGACAATGCTCTCTCCGCTGCCTGCAACCTCTTCCACAAGGTGTGCTTGTCACCATAGATTGGTTCCTTGAGCTCTCGAAGCCTGGCTCGCGTATCCTCCACCTTGCTCCATCCATGTAGCCGTGGTCGGTCAGCTCGAGCGTGTGCTTCGTCCTCCGCAAACTCTGCTGGGATGGGGACCATCTCAATCCCTTCTCCCTCATCTTCAATGCCAGCATACTCCCACTCATACTCTTCTCCCTGTCCTGCCACTGGCGCCACCATCACGCCAGTGCCCAGGTCGATGTCCAGGGGGGATCGTCTCGTCGTCCCGCGCCTTGAGGTAGTAGGAGTTGCAGTGAAGGTACAGAGGAATCTTGAAGTCCTAGCTTTGGGATGCGTGAGGAATGGCTTCTTTGGATTCCTCATATCTGCTGCAAAGCCGTTCCTGCTCATCTTCCCAGCACTCAGGACATCTTTGCTTGCGTGCTCGCTGACCTTGAACTCCGTGACCGCATTCAGGAAGTTTTTGTCCTCCCCAATGATCTTGTAATTCACCTTCTTCTTGCCGAGGCGTCCAAGGCATTGTCCTGAAATGCCCATCAGCTTGGCCTCACTCTCCTCGGTGTGGTAGTCACCACCCAAGCTGGGTCGGCACAGATGCTCATCACTGCCTGAATCCCACAGGAGGTATTTGATCTTCCTGTCGGGAGGTTGGCATGCCAGCAAATGCTTGCTCCTGTGGATCATCATCACCCACATCTCATCTGAGTACTCGTCCTCAATCTCGAACACATCCTCAGCATCTGCCCAATCCACCCGTTCACCATCACCCGGCAGCCAGTAGTACACTGCATTCGTGCTCTGCCCACCTGATGGGGACGCAGATCCGGTTGCCGAAGATGATGCTGCTGCAATAGCATTTGTGCTGTTGCCTTTTCCTTTCCCTTCACGTTTGGCCTTCTCCTTGGCCAACAAACGACAGTCTGCCTTCTTGCGCCCCCATTTGCCACAGTAGGAGCACTCACCATTGAATTTCTTCGGAGGTGGTGGCTTTCCTTTCTTGTCGAATTTGCCACCTTTGTTGTCACTCTTGGTCTTGCCACCCTTCTTGCCCTTGTCATAGGACACCGCACCAACATCCATAGGTGCTGCTCCACCATCATCCTTGCCCAGCTCGCCCCCCTTGGCGTTGTAGTACTGCCTGGTTGAAGGAAATCTCGTACGAACTTCTTGGCTCGCTCATAGTTCGTCCCAACTTGAGCTCCGGCAGTCCTCAGGGCTGACCTCAATGACATGGGCGCATGCTTCATGAGGACCGCAATCTTGGTGGAGTCCGAGACGTGCTCCTTGGCCTGGATCTCATAGCGCCTTGTCAGCGCTTCCCAACTCTCAAGGGACTCCAGGAAGTCGTTCTCCTTGACTGACTCCCAAGCTGGGGCGATGATGCTCATCAACATGGCTGTATGCCTTCCCCCAACATCAGGCTCATAGGCCTCACAAAGCGCTTTCCAAGCCCGGAAGCCGTTGCCGCTCTCCACGTTCATCAACACCTGTAGGGCCCTGCCATCAACGCTCTGGGTGAGGAGGTTGAACAGGACAATGGCTTTCTCCTGGGCGCGTTGCCCCATATCGCTCAGGATCAGGTCGCTGTACCGGTTGGCGTTCTCTGCACCTGGATGAGGGCCTGGTAGCTCGTATCCAGCAGATTCAGGTATCCTCTTGCCACAAATACCCAAGCTGCCCACTCTTCTTCTTTGCCTGGCTGCTGCTGCTGAGCTTGTTGAGGTAGAAGACCTGCTTCAGCTGCCGCTGCCAGGGAATCTCCGAGCGAGAAGGCGCCTGGCGGGGTAAGCGGCGCAGCGTTCGAAGCCGTGGGCGCTGCTTGGCACCTCCCCTCGAGGAGGACTTACCCCGCGCCCACACCGCCAAGCGGATTTACAGGGTGTCCTCCACGCAGGCGCCCACGCGCGGATCTTATCATGTCTAACAGGGGACCCGGAGCAGGAGCTCAACCCTGCTCCGCTACCATGCGTGCGGGTAGCGTGCTCTTTTCCAGCCTAAAGGGGCTCACGTACATGTACACATCACACGCTATACAAGATGTATGTATTTCCCTGCAGGATACCCTATACCGTGGATACCTGCACTGTTGCTTCATAGCAACAATTATTCCAGGAGGTTCAAACGTCAAAATTGTATGTAGCAATTATTCCAAGATACTTCAACATGTTACAAACAAGTGTTCTAGGTATGCCTGACCTCAGTTTAAAAAGGACTGTCCTCCAAAACAGGACCACCACCACCAACAACAACAACACCAACAACATCAACATTCTGGAAGCCAGGCCAGGACCTGCAACATCTTTCAGCAGCCGTCGAAGAATGTCTGATGTTTCATTAGTTAAACATTCCAGGGTATATTGACATTTCCGTACTTTAATATTCCAGGGTATATATACCTTTGGCTATATATAATTCCAAGGATCTCCTAACCTACTTGGTGATGATCACCAATGTTTCCATCATGTTCAGGATCGCGCAAAGAAAAAATATTCCAGAGCAGCTGAACGGCAATTATCGCATACCTGCAAAAAGAATCTGACAAATATTCCAAGTTAAATATTCCAACAAGTATGGATGTACCCCAGAATATTTAACTAAAGCACCACCCATTTGATAACAGTGCTAAGTGTGCCCCGAGGAAAGTTTAGTGTTGGGTCTATCCTATTTCCTGTAACAGTGGACGACGGCTTACACCTTTACATCTGCTTCTGTGGGGCGCCCTTGTGGAGAGAACTTCCGTGCTGAGATCAATCTCCCTCTCCTGTCCCCTCCCTGCACTCACACATCTGTCAGCTCTCTCTCAGAGTGAGGTGACCTCGTTTGTTGCGTTTCCTGTCACGCAGTCTCCCCTTTCCACACATCTCGTCAATAGACAATCCAAATAGTCTCCTGAAGACCTTGTGTGCTAATGATGCACTCTTCAGCGTCACTTGAGGCCGAGGGTAGGTGACGAAAGCTAGCAGGGTGCATTTGGACTGGTGGGACATCAAGCGGAGTGAGGCAAATGCTCATGAGGTAAAACGTTGTGAACATGTAAGACGCACAAACAGCAATGACACAGCCAACCTTAGAATTGAAGTCCCCGATAATTAAGGGAGCGTGGCTGGACTTTGCCACACTGTTCGATGCATCCGATGTGTTCACGAACCTGTGAGCTTGTTGAATCTGTTGCACCGTATCCCAAAACCTCCACGGAGGAGTTGAACCAGTGTGGGTGCCGTAAGAGGTGCCCAAGAGATGTCCCAAAGGCAAACAAAGCTGCTTGCATGATTTGTTTGGAGTCTTCTATCGATGTCGATGTCATGAACATGTGAGCTTGTTGAATCTGTTGCACCGTATCCCGGAGGAGTTAAGCCAAAGTGGATGCCATAAGAGATGCCCGAGAGGTGTCCCAGAGGCGTCCGAGGGGGGAGTTGAACCCACGGGGGGGGGGGTCCCCCCTACATATGAAGTTTTCACGTGATGCGGCGATCCCGAGGATTCCAGCCCCTCACTTGCTAAAGCAAGGACAACTCCAGCTAGCTGGTGCTAGCTTTCGTGATTTGCATCACTCGCACCGCCCCCAAACCCCTGCAAAAACACATGTTTTGTGACCCTCTCTTTTTTTTCGCTCTCCCCCACCAGGCTCTGGGCGCACCCGACCCAACCGGGCCAGATTTACAAACCCCCCCCCACACACCCTATCACTCACTTCGTTCGCCCATCGAGGACTCAACCATGCCTATCGGCTGGCTTTCGCGTGAAAAAACAATGGAAATCAAACACTTGCTTCTTACATGACCTGGCCTCTGCCCGCAGTCCATGATTCGCTTCAGAAGCTTCTTTCCATGGCCTTTCATGTTTTCCATTTCCTCGAAGCTGTGGCGCTTCCGACTTTCCCGGTCCTCAAAATTGGACGTGCTCATCTCGCTGCCTCAGCGGAATACAATGTAGCTCAGAAGTATTAAACTCACAAAGTGCAAGTTGATTCTTGTTTGCCTCTCGAACGTAATACCATTTTTGCTTCGTCCATCGCGCCGGTTTGCGGTAATTGGGCAAGTGAGTTCTGCAAACGTGAACTCGCCACTCGACTGACCCGTTGCTTCGCGAAAATTGGACTATGTGAATGTTGAATTTCAGGAAATTCCACCACAGCTGCATTTCACAAAATTACTTGGCTCCCTGGTTTTACTCAGGCACTGCTTCCTTAGGCCTCTTCTAGGCATTTGGCTGCCTTCGCTCGTACTCAATCTCCAATCTCAAGTGTTTATTGTTGAAACAAGAATGGAGACATTCGAGAACCTTGAAAGCCAGGGGACACCATTCTTGTAGCGTTTCAAACAGAATCTTTGCATAGAAGGCGGCAGCGCCACCGCCAGCTCCAGCTCCACCTGCAAGGGCTAAGCTAGTAAAAGAATAAGGCTATTAAACATGTCAACTTTCAAGTTTGGATCCTTCGATTCCATCAAACTTACGTTTTCATTTACGTCCATTCAGGAAAACCACCCACCTGTATTCCAACCTCTAAAGCCCAAAGTTCCATCGTTTAAGCTCTTCTGCTTGGGCATAGGTGGCATGTAGTCCAAAGGGATCTTTCCTTGAGAATCCTTGATCAAGCAATGTCTCTTCATTTCCTCCGGGTAGGAGTCAAAGAGCCACTGACCCAACTGGTGAAAATTGTCCTGAACGGCGTAATGCAAAGGAGACATCTTCGAAGGCTCCAATGACTTGAAAAGGACGTCTCCATCATCCTTCAGTGAATTGGGGACCGTCTTGATCAAATTCTTGCACATTTCAAAGTTGTTGCTGTTGCTTGCCAGCCGGAAGAGTTGCCAAAAGTAGTCTTTGAACTCATCCACACTGACATTTTGCGTCTTCTTCCCAAACTCCCGGATCTTTTGATTCAAAATGCTCATGGGTTCCACCCCACCGGTCTTGTCTTTTCTCCTGGTTGTCAGAGCAAGGACGCCGCTCTTCAATGTCCATCTACCTCTATAAGCCTCCAAAGCTCTAGTATCCTTCCTTATCGCCCGAATTCTGTTCAATGTCAATCCCAAAAAAATACGACCGGCTGACTGCCACATGTTGTTTCCAAGCTGCCTTTAGTTCCCGCGCTAACTATCGTCCGGTACTGCGCAAAGCACACGCAGCATGCCGGGGACAGCGTCAAAGCCTTGAAAAACACCAAGGTGCCCCTTTCTGAAAGAAACTGTTGGAGCCCCTACCTGGTTTTGACGCGTGACAATCTGATTGCATACTGCCGACCAAATGCGTGCGTGTGTGTGTGTGAAAGGCAATGGACACTTTGGAAAGCATTGCTTAACGAAGACCTTTCCATTGCGTCGCGATAGGACTTTGGGACGCCAAAGTCACGTACCTGCTTTATTTCCTACTGGGCCCCGTTTTAGCTACAACAAGATCGCCAGCCTTTGCGCTTTTCTGCACCCGGCAGTCATGCACTGTGTCATTTTTAGCTTTGCACGTTTGGAGTTTGGGACTTTGAAACACTTTGACAACGAGAAGATGTTTCCCTGGTTTACTCAAGCAAGGTTTCTTCAAGGCTTCGGGCGATCAGTACCATACACCTCCATACACCCTATCCTGTGTGTGTGTGCCTTGGCGCGTCAAAGATTTCTCTGCGCGTCGAGCACCCGCAAAAAGCTTAGAGTGTGCTGCATCTAGGTCAAATTGCGCAGTCCAAGTCTTGCCCTTGCACTTCTGTCTCATGAAGTGTATGCGCGACAGGCCGACATTTGTTAATTCTTCTTAGACGGGAAGCCTACGCAAGCTCGAGTAATGCAGGTTCAGGCTTTCTGCACACACCCTCAGAAGCGCTCCAACAGCAATGATTTTTTGTTGCTTTGGGGTTCCCTTGCATCAGCCATCTTTTGCCTCCGTTAGGCCTCACCTTTTAAAATCACCAAGGCAAAATTGGATATCTCTCCTGCAGCACTTGGTGAGGGTCCGCCAGCAACAAGGGCAAAAGCAGCGAATCCAAGGACATCGGTTGGCGTCCCTTGCTGGCTGGGCAGTCGAGGTTTGGGCAAACTCTTTTCAAGGTCCCTACACGTCCAAAACCTTTTGGACTGTCTGTGAATAGCTAAAAATTGGAGCACACAGGCATGCCTTAGAGTTGCCAGTCGATCAAGCAGCTCAAACTGGCTGGTTTTCTCTTCCCACCTCAGCAGTCGTCATGAAAACCTTATACAAGGCCAATTGAAAATCTCTAGCAATGGTGAGCTGGCAACGACCGGTGGTGAAGTGGATATATCAGAATGCAACAAAGCTGCTCAAAGCGCTGCTGGACCCAAAGATCTGGTGGTCCACAGGTCTTAAGTATTTCGTGAATCGTGTTCTCAACGTCCTACGAGAACTGTGGGTAGCAGCCACAACTTCAAGCTGATTAGTCGACCAACCGAGCCCGCATTCTTCAACTCCAAACTTGTGTGAACAATTATAACCAAGGCTAGTACAGTACACCTGACAACTTGAAAACCTCTTCGGTGAACAAATCCAAACTGAAGGCAAAGACCTAAGCGCTGTCCAAATCGATATTTTTCCAATCCACAAGTTCAAGAGATCAAGAGATGTCCGAATGCTTGTGAGCAGCTTAGCACACGCTTTCGACCTCCAACGAAAAGAAAAACGAGCGACACCCTCCTGAAGGACCTGGCCAAACTCAATGTCTCCCATTTGCAGCCGTGCTTTCAGTAGCGTCAATCGGTTCAAGAGGCCTCAATCTCCAATAGTAGGGGAACGTTCTTTGAACGAGGCAACTTAACATAACGTTCGAGAAACAAACGCTATAGCATTGAAGATCAAGTGTTCATAAATGCAACTCTGAGAAATCAACACAACAGCCGCTAGGTCTGCGCAAATAATCAAAACCAATCTAGCTTGGAAACTGTTGTAGCGCTCAGAAGCAAACCGGTTCCTCAGGCTCCAACACTGATCTTCCGCGCTTATCAAATATATTCCATTATCAAATAGGCATATAACTTATAAGTGCAACAAAACACATTGCATTGAAACCAACCCACAAGTCAATACAAAGATCCTTTTAGAAGGTCCTCTTTAGAGAAAACCATTGTGAAGCTCAATTGTTGAAGGCAGAATTTGGCAGATTCATTTTCGTTCCAAGATGTTCCAAGCATCTTTTCCATTCTCGCCTGCCAGCGCCAGTAAGACCCGATGGAACTCACAATGGTCGTCAAGCCTGGAGCAGGTCGTCACTGCAATCACCACCCCCTTTTTTTGCCAATGAAGGACTTGTCTTGCAGATTCTTGCAGTCTGCCTTGTCAGATTGAACATATTAACTTGCGTTTCAATTTGAAGAATTTAATAATATGTCTCAATGAATGATGTCTCCTGCCTGAAATTGAGGCAATGTAAACTCTATTGTTGGGAAAATTGACCTGTTCGGTGGCCAACGTCCAAACTGTCGCAATGGCCGATAGGACCACCTGGCAAAGATTCTATTGAATGCAAAATGTCCCTTGTTGAGCGGATCCGAATGCTAGAATCTTGGTATGTCCATGTCTCTATATCTCAGGTCGGTGCAGAGGGCAATGTCAATGACCAAAAATTGACGTGTTCCTCAGCAGTTTTGAGGGCAGTAATCAAACAAGCACCCAAAGTTCAAGGCAAAAACGGGCAGCACTTAAACATAAAAGTTGAAAACTAGAGGGGACGCAGAGTAACAAGTGTATTGTTGAACTTGGTAGTGCCTTTGTGAGTTTGGTCTGTAAACTGACTGCGCACATACAAATACATGACCGCACTCAGGATGTATTGGCTTGAAAATGCTGAGCGCCATGGAAAAATAAAACCCCAAATAACCTCACATGTGAAGATTTTGTGTTGACAACAAGCGCAGGCAAAAACAGAAGGAAAAGGAATAATAGCGGTAAAAGCGAATGAGTAAGTGAGTGAGTGAGTGAGTGCGTGACTGGCGCCTGCGCGACGCGCGATCAAAAAGTTTTAGCGAGTTGGTGTGGATAAGTTGATACAAGTGATTTGACGCGCGTAAGCGTGTGCGCGTGTGTAAGTTGGTGAACGTCTATTTTCCCCCACACTGTGGACATTAGGGGCATTATGGTAAGAGTTAAGCACCGGCGCCGGTGTCTCATCGAGGTGTCGCGCCGACGTGTCCGGCTACTTCGCTTCTATTTACGGTACATTCACGCCTCTCGAAATCTTTGAAATGCATTTCGACTGCGCAGGGTGTTTGTCGCGAATGCACTCTCGCTGCGGCGCCGCGCGCTTTTTCGGACATGGTAATCACTTTTCGTGGCAGCCGTGCTTTGGTGGTCCAACAGGTGCAAGGTGCAGATTTCGTGGCAGGCGCCGCACTTTGGACATGGTGGTGATCTTCGACGCGCTCTAATTTCGTGACAGGTGCAGTGAATCATGACTTTTGTACACGTGGATCATTTTCAAAGTGGCACTCGCTGCACTTTGCGCACCTTGAAGCGCAGATTTCGTGGCAAGCGCAGTACTTTGTGGGCCTTGAGGCGCAGATTTCGTGGCAGGCACAGTACTTTGTGGGCCTTGAGGTGCAGATTTCATACAACAATTCGTCTACAGTAGATCTCTAGACTTTCTGCTGCCGTACATTTTTTTGGGGTCTCTTACCGGGTTCAATGGTTTTTTCTAACCTAAGATGCCTAAGCGTCTTTGCGCGCGCCCTGCATGGTTCGTCAACCATGGCTCCTCAGGTTCGAAACGTTCACGAGCGCCTGCGCGTGTCCCGGTCTCACTTTCGAGTGAATTGGTTGACGCCAGCAACAGGGCCGTGGACTCAGTGGAGAAGCCGCGGCAACGCTGCACCCCCAGCAACAGCAAGCCCTCTACAAAGTGTATGTGAGTTGGTGTATGTGTGAGCTGGTGTGTGAAACTTGGTGTGAATGAGTTGCTGCGTCTTCTTGTTTTTGGGGGCGCCAAGCCGCAACTCAGGCGGCTTTGCGCAGGCTTTACGTGACTCTATAGAGGTCACGGCTCCTCATCCAAGGAGACTCAGGCAAAAAGCTGGAGCACCGAGCTCACATCAAAAGGAGCGCTCAGCCACCCTCAACATCATCAAATCCACGGCCCGAACGCTCCACGCGATTCAACCCAAGCTGGGGCAGAGAGCTGACAGGAAGTAAAGTTGTTATGAGGAGGTTTGGCTCATTTGGTTGCCCCTGTTCACTTGCTTCCTGTCAGGTCCTCTCTCGTTTGTGTTTTCGCGCGCGCATACACATTAGTCTAAGCCTTAGTTTTCCATGCCTCCCCTGGGAGGCGTGTGTGTGAAACCCTTGGAGTCACAAGGAATCCGTTGATTTTGTCTCTCCGTTTTTGAGTTCGTTCTTAGCAAACAGCAGGGGGTGCAAGCAGCCCATCCAGTCTTGCACCAACGAAGACACACTGGATGTGCCCTGGTGATGTTGGCCCAGGACGCTGGATCAACGTACCTGCTTTCAGATGAACCTACATATGGCCAAAGCTGTCTCATTCTTTGCCTTGCGGTAATCGTCTCCTTTGTGTTGGACTCCACTCCATTTCCTTTTGAGGATTTGAGGATTTCTGGTCCTTGGTTACCCTGTCTTCTCAGGCTTTCAAACTTAGTGCGGCGGGTGTGGCAAACCGCAATCGTGTCAGTACGCTTTATCTTGAGTGAGTGTGTGTGTGTGTGTAAGAGAGACGCTGAAGCCATTCCGGACTACCGTTTTTCTGACTCGAAGTGCAGCCATCGTGGGCCATCGTGGATTCTGGTTGAGGAATTTTTTTCACCCAATGAATTTCCCGACTTAATACCGCCGGGTTGACGGAACTTCTACACCGCCGGGTTTACGGTCATATATATGCGCCACACACACACTTATAGATATGCGTACTGACTTGACAGCGGTGCCACACGCCAGCCTAGGTTACCATTTCCTAAGAGTACAAGTAAGAACCAACGGATCCTGGAGGTCTTCAAAAGGAGAAGAGAAGGGGCCAAAAGCGCAAGCCGAGGTCGAAACGACAGGATGACGACGTCCGCTCATGTCTGCCAAGCTCGTTAGCCCTTTACGAAATCTTAAAATTGTTGCAGGTACGTCCAGCTGGCCAAGCTGGATATCCCACCAGAGCGCATAGCTTTGTTAGACACGGTCTGCAATCTGGCGCCGTGTCCCCCTGCTGAAAAAAGAAAAACAAATTCACAATCCGAGTCGACCGACTACAAGGGGCACACACACACAACCCCCCCGCCTTGCACGCAAGTCTCTTTTTTATCCCACCCGCTATCTAGGGTAACAGAAGGAAGTCGCACTCAACACACTTGTGTGTTGGTGCCTTTCCTTCTGTTTCTCCTGTCCTAGTCCTACCTACCTGAGCGGTCTAAGACTAACGTCCCGCTCGCTAACTTTTGCATTTGGTTCATACCGCTAAGTAGTCAGTAACTAGAAGGTTTCGTAACTAGTTGGCCTCGTCACTACACCTACCTTCTCTCTTGCCCTCTTCGGTTTCTCTTTCTGTTTTTTCTTTGCCTTTCTTTCTAAGGCTTGTTCGGTGACTAATGGTGACTAGTACGTTCCCTCGAGCGCCGATATCGGCGCTCTGTGTGTGTGTGTGTGTCACACTCCGTCCCAAGGAGTTTTAAGTGTTTCATGCAGGGGGGCAGTGCACGACTGAGAGACACTGCCCAACGAAGACACTGTCAGCTCGTGGTGAAGCAATGCGGGACGCCGCATTGTGCACCTGCTGAACGAACTTTTGCACACGCTGTGACTCCACTCCTCCATTTTTTGATTCCATGGTCCTTTCATGATACTCCCCTAAGCCTTTCCCAGCTGCTCGTGTACGATTTCAGCCGCTCGTGAGCTGCCGTTGAGTTTCTGCAGATGTGCATAAACATTTTTGGAAACACCTTCAAATGCTTGGGCGATTCACCTTTCCGTTGAGCCACTCCTTTCCTCGTGGAACTGAGCTAACAGAAAACCCATTGTCTAAGTGTGTGGCGCAAGTGTGAGTGCGTTGGCGGGAGGCGGCGGGAGGAGAAGGAGGAGGAGGAGGTTGTCGTTTACTTGCCATGGAGGAGACTTCTTGCAACCGTTCAAGTACCCCCCAGACGTGAACTTTCTCTGGCGCTGTCAAATAGCAGTGAAGGTGAAAGCACCACCTAAACCTTCAGAAGCAGGGCGCCGTTTGATATTCCTTTTTGACGCCAATACTTATCTGTTTTTCTTTGGTTGCGCTACCAGATTTTCGTGCACCCTTTGCGCATATCACAGGAGAGTCACATAATAGCGCTCTGCGCGACGATGAATCTCAAATCCGTGCTCTGCCATCTGCTGCCATTGCTGGAGTTTCTCCTGTTGTAGGTCAAACAAAACCAGTCCCACTCCCCGTTGGTTTCTGCCCAAACCTTCTGAAGCATTTAGCTTTTCCTTCAAACCTTTTGGCTCAAATCTTCTGAGACCGCACCACCCTAATATACCATGTTTTCTGCCCTGCCTTTTGCTCGATTGTGAGCACCACATTTCTCGTTGGCCGACGATCTTGTCGTGACTGTCCCGGTTGCAGATCTTGCAGAGTTCAAAAAATGCAAAATCAAACAATGTGCATTGCAAAAGCTCTTCGACAGGGTTGAAAGGTCTATTGATGCGCTTAAAACATCTTAAAACTATGGAGGCCATCGGCTTGGAGGCCATCACTATCAGGTTGGAGGCCATCGCTAGTAGGTTGGACGCTATAGCTAGGTGTGAGGCCATCGCTACCAGTAGTCGCTTGGAGGCTATCGCTATCAGGTTAGACGCCATTGCTATTAGGGTGGAGGCCATCGCTAGTAGGTTGGAGGCCATGGCTAGCCGGTTGGAGGCCATCGCTAGGTTAGAGGCCATAGCTTTTAGGTTGAAGGCCATCACTAATCGGCTGGAGGCCATCGCTATTCGGTTAGAGGCCATCGCCCATCGCTATTAGGTTGGAGGCCATTGCTATAGTAGGTTGGCCATCACTATTGAGTTGGAGGCCATCGCTAGTCGATTAGAGGTCATCGCTACTAGGTTGGAGGCCATCGCTATCAGGTTGGAGGCCATCGCTAGTAGGTTGGACGCTATCGCTAGGTGTGAGGCCATCGCTACCAGTAGTCGCTTGGAGGCTATCGCTATCAGGTTAGACGCCATTGCTATTAGGTTGGAGGCCATCGCTAGTAGGTTGGCGGCCATGGCTAGTCGGTTGGAGGCCATCGCTAGGTTAGAGGCCAGCGCTATTAGGTTGAAGGCCATCACTAATCGGCTGGAGGCCATCGCTAGTTGGTTGGAGGCCATCGCTGTTAGGTTGGAGGCCACCTCTAGTCGGCTGGAACTAGATTGGAGGCCATGACTATTGGGCTGCATGGAGGCCATCGCTAGTCGATTGGAGGCCATCGCTATTTGGTTAGAGGCGATCGCCCATCGCTATTAGGTTGGAGGCCATTGCTATTTGGTTGGAGGCCATCACTTTAGGTTGGAGGCCATCGCTAGTCGGTTAGAGGCCATCGCTACTAGG